TGATAACGAAGCAGCGACAGTAGCAGTTGATTCATTGCTCAATTATGAGGCCGTCAAATATTTTAATAATGAAAATTAATCCCAGAAGAAACATCAGAAATAATATAACAGTGGGTAAGGGAATGAAGAAAGAGATGGAAATTGAAGGTGATAAACATAATGAAACAGAGATATCAATATTAATAATGATACTATTTTAATTGATAATAATTATCAAAAAAGTAGTAATAGTGAAAATTAGATTTTTGTCAGACTCATGACAACTTCGGGTCTAAGTATTTCCAAGTGCTCTGTTGAACATATAAAATATACTGAATTTATTTTTGAGCACAAATCTGTCCTCCTACAAAGTAGAGTTTTTTCAAGATGGAAAGAATATTTAAAAAAATTATATATATATACATATTATTATGTGATTTAGTGCAAATCAACAAATATTTGAATATAAATGTATTCGCGAATATTCGAATATTAATATATTTCGTAATTATTTTGGTACTTAATAATCATTTAGATTTTCGTGATTTTGATACTCGTAATTATCTTTGATATTTGTAATATTCAAATATTCAATAGTAATAGTAATGATTTATAATATATTTTGTTTATTTGACTATGATCGTTAGTTAATTTTGCAAATTATATTAGCGATATAACAATAATTATTATTTTATAGATAAATATATAATTGTTTGAAGTATTATGAGTATTCGTAATAATAAGGTTATTCATAATTACTAAGAGTACTCGTAATAAATAAGAGGTAAGTGTAGTCCTCCGCTTCAAGTGAAGTTTATTTTTAAGTGTAGTTTTCCGCTATTTCCCTTCATTTAAAAATAATGTCTCGCTTGAAGTTCCTCTCTCACTTGGGAAGGATGTTTCTTCTTTTTTCTGTACATATGCGTATAAATTTATTTATCTCAGCATTGTCCATTTTTGTGGAAGTTTCCGATCATACAGATAAAAACACACCTTATTTTGATAAATGGACGAGTTCCAATTTACCTCACGTAAGGTATTCACACATAAATAAATTACATGATAAAAAGTAAAATTTTTTAATTTAGGTTCACACATATCTACTTCCATAATTATGCTGAGGCTACAAACGTATATAGTTATCATGGTAACCAGGAAATACAATTACATTTTCAGCTGCTACATACATCAGGATCTTTAAATTATAAAATTTCATCGCGATGTAAAACGGGTACCATTGCACAACCTTATTTCAAGATGTGCAGCCTACCCAACATTGCAAACACATTGTTACATTGCAATTTATATTTAATATTAACATTTCGCATCGAATTTTATTGTATTAAAAATCAATAAAAATAAAATATATATATATAAATTCAATTTGAAAAAATTACATTTTTTATTAACTATATAATATAATCATAAGCGACCATTCTGGTAGCACAAACTTCTAAACCATGCAATCACAGCCACCAACCAATCTGTGGTGGAAACCAACTTTCGAAAGAGTTCAAAGAAACTGGTACGATGAATCCACCTCCATCTATCCCCCACCTCTTCCCGTGATTCAACTATAAATTCTAATCCAGTCATAGTCAACAAATAATACCATTTTTCCACTGGAAAATATCCTTTTTGTACAGTTTGGTTCTGTCGCTTATGTAACCAACAATAATCCATCACCAACTAAACAAATCGTTTCCCTACTCACTGGTGTACTGTACCTAATTTCTAACCATATTTTTCACAAGTTTAATTAACTTCTTGACCTGCCATATTTATGGCATTACGATTTCTAAGAAATTACCCAACCGAAAAAATGTCATTAATACATTTTTGGTTTTTGTAAAAATTTTCTACAGAGAGATTTGCATAATCTTACATACAAATGCACACAATAACTGATAAACTAATAATCAATATCTTGCGTAACTGAATTGAAATGACTTTTCTCATGTTTGTTCATTTCTAATTAATTAAACCAATTTATTTCACTTTCATTCATTTAAAATGGAAGAGCTTTCAGTCATTATAATAGGAGAAAGTAATAATACAATCACGAGAAGGGGGGAGTCTTTTTCTGCTCATATTTTGAAGTAAAGGATGGTTCTAAGAAGTCAAGTTGGGTATGAAAAGATGATCAATTCTTGCGGTGGAAAACATAATAAAAATCGATTTCCTGTTTTGTCAAAGCTATCCACTAAATACTTGTGTGCACCTAGAACGTCCATTCCAAATGAGAGATTATTTAGTCAAGCTGGAAATACAATAACCTCAAAAAGAACAAAACTTGATCCGCTTTTATTTGTAAATATTTGGTTTTTTTTTTTGGACTAAATAGTTAATTTATTAAATTAATATAAAACAAATGAATATTCAATGGGTACAACCTCTAATTGATATTAATGGTGATGCAAGTATATATACGAATTGATAAATGGGAGATTTGAATCTTTCCAGTATCAATTTCCAAATACTCGACCGTAAAAGTCTTATACTATCACGGAAAATTAAAATCAATAATGATAAATAAATCGGAAATGATTTACGAAAGTTGCACGAAAAGAAAACCGGGAAAACCAGCCCAAAAGAACTCAAACGTGTGAAACGGGCCTTGAGTC